AGACCTTACATAGACTCACACTGGCTGTCTCAGTTTCAGACACAGTCAGTGAACACAGAACACAAGAATCATATTTTAAATGTCAAAGGGAAGGCTCCTTTCCAGAGATAAAATATTGTATACCATGAATTACTCGTGGAACAATTGGCAGTAATGAAGCATTGCTAATGCACTAAACAAAAATATATCCTTTCAAATCTGAGTCAACTATTGTTATAAGTTTTTATAATGTCCTTTATAAATTAGAAAATAGGAATGTTGGGGGCATCATATTTTTGAGACACAGTCTGCCTGTAACCCAGGTGACCTCAAACTCACAAGGTACACCAGCCTAGCATTGAACATATTAAAATCCCATCCATTTTTGGCTTGTTGATTTCTTTTAGCTGTTTTTTTACAGTTTTTTTTTAACTGACCCGAGGACTCCCTTGCCCATTAGCATATTAAAGTTGGGCCATACTGGGCTACAGCAGCTTTTAACTCATCTCTGATAGTTTAAAGGGATGATGTTGCCATGTGGAAACAGAGCGCTGCAGGGCAGGGAAAGAGGCACCTTGTAAGGAATGTTTACTTTTAACTGATAGGTCTTGAAGACCCGCAAGCAGCTCTTGCTTTTGTCGATCTAGGGCTAGCTGTTCTTTTAACAAAGCCTCTTCATTTCTTAATTGGGTAACAAGGGGAGAAGTGGGGAATGACTCGAGGGCAGGTAAAACTGTTGGGAGAGGGTAAGGAGGAGGCAAAGAGTGCGCCTCAGAAGGAGCCGTGGGCACAGTGCCAGACTGAGGTGTCGTGACATCAGTGCTGGATTTAGAGTTAGGCTCTGATTTAACATGTTTAGGATTTGAAATCTTAGAACATGTCTCTGGTGACGTTTCCTCATCACTATCAAGGGAGATAAGGTCTATCTCCTTAGGGGAAGTCACTTTATTCCCGGGAGGCTCCGGAGGGGGGCCTTGTAGGAGGCCCGAAGTTTGCTTTATGGCAGCCTCGTTGGAGGATTCATTTGAATCTATTAATTCCCTGATTATGTTCCAGTAGGAAAAGGCTGTAACAGGAATTTTCTCGGGTCCAAAGACCTTATAGTAATCCTCTAAAGCATTTTTTACCCTTTTCCATCCTTTAATATCTATTATTCCTTCTTGGGGAAACCAAGGACAGGTTTCCTTAATAAATTCAAAGAACCTCAATAGATCCTCTATTTTAACCTTTACTCCTCGCGTCCATAAGGCATCCTGCAATTGCTGAACATAAATTTCATGCCTGCTTAAGTTGCGGAACGCGTTCCTTGGGGGCCGTCTTCTTCCCACACTGGATCCTCCTTATCCAGCCCTCACGCTGGGCGCCAGGTGTCCCAACCCACAGGACAGTCAACATGGGTATCTGGAGGGAAGAGAGGGGATGGAAAGGGACAAGAGATGCGAAGAATGGAGACAAGACAGGCTTTCTGATCAAGTCTCATTTAATGAACATCTACACAAAGTTTTTATAGTGAGGAGAGGGGGAAGTTGGCAGGGACAAATCCATTGAAGTAGAGCAATTCAATTAACAGAACGATTATCACAATAACACCACACCAACTGATCACAGAGTAAATTCCATAGTAACACCACAATTCTATATAGCAAGTTATAAATCAATTAAGAGGTTACACTTGTATGATTACAGAATAATACCAAAGTTTCTTAGCAATCACGTGAGAAATGAGGGAGTCTCTCAAGCGGTAAGTGCCCAGGTTAGAACAACATGTTTGTGAGAGGCTTTCAAGTATAGTCATCTGGTTAATCTCAAACCAGGCCAGCCTTGATGTCTGAAAAACAGCTTTGCCAGGAATCAGGTCTTGCTATTTCCTGGGGTAGGGGCCTACGGCTCCCGACATTTGCCTAAAGCTACCCTTGATCCTAACCCTAACCCTAACACTAATCCTAACTGAAATTTAACTCTGAAATTAAACCTCAGCCTAAATATAAACCTTAACCTATCCTTATCCCTAAAGTAACACTAACCGTACTCTAACCCTAACCCTAAACCTCCCTCTAAACATAACCCTAACCCTAACCCTGACAATATTCTAAACCTAACTCTAATCCAAACAATAACCCTAACCCTAACCCTAATCTTAACCATAACCCTAACCCCAATGCTAACTCTAAACCTAACCCTAAACCATGTTATTTTTGAGTTTTATGTAAAAATGACTTGCCATGAATGTCACTCATGTTGCTTTACAAAAATATGCTTGGCATATGTATCTATGTGCTTGCATCCTGTACAAAGAACAGTACTTCTCGTAATGTATTTATTATAGTGAAAATGAATGAACGGTAGTATTTCACGTTTAACCGTGTTCCAAATGAGTTGTATGTAAAAAGAAATTGCCATCAGTGTCACTCAGGAACCTTGAGAAAAATAAGTGTCTCTTCTGTATCTAAGTGCTTGCTTCCTGTTGAAAGAACTGTACTTCTAGCATTGTATTTACTATAGTGAAAAAGAATGAAAAGAAGCATTTTGTGTTTAAACAATTTCCTGATTAGTTGTATGCAAAAGTAACTTGCCATCAATATCAGTCAGGTTGCGTCGCTCTGTATCTAATTGCTTGCTTCTTGTTGAAAGAACAGTACTTCTAGTGTTTAACCCAGTTCTTAATGAGTTGCATGTAAAAGGGACTTGCCGTCAATGTCAGTCATGTTGCTTTAGAAAAATATGTGTGGATTTTGTATCTAAGTGCTTCCTTGCTAAAGAACTTCTAGCAATGTAGTTACTACAGTGAAAAGTACTGAACAGAAGCATTTTGCGTTTTACTACGCTCTTTATGAATTGCAGGAAAAAGGGATTGGTCATCAATGTCAGTCCGCTTGCTTTAGAAAAATATGTGTCCCTTCTATATCTCACTGCTTGCTTTCTGTAGAAAGAACTGTACTTCTTGCAATGTATTTAGTACAGTGCAAACGAATGAACAGAATCATTTTGCGTTTTGTGACGTCTTTCTGGATCTCCTCACTGTAAACACTCTGCCTTGCCTACTTCTTTTGATCTCCTTTCCCATTGATTTTCATCACTCCCGGACAGCACTGTGGTCTCCGTGATGGACTTGCTTCATCCCCCATTCCCTATCTCAGTTCCCCCACTGGCTGCTCACCACTGGCTTCTCATCCCCTCCCTGCTCCTTTGCCATGGGCCTGCGAGGTCTGCTGTCTTCCATCCTTTTTCCTGTCTTTATCCTCCTCCACTGCCTTTCTTCCTCACTTACCTCAGGATGATTTCTGATACCATTCAATCCAACACATACAAATGCTCTGTATCCTTCTCCTCTCTCTCCCACTCCCATACTAAAGCTTCCTATTCTCTGGTGTGTGCCTCCCTGCCAGCCCGCCACAAGTCTGACCTCCCATGCATGCTTTAAACCTGTATGACCCCAAGGCTTTTTTTCCTTACCGCTATTCACCCCCTCCAGACAGCTGCCAAGAACCAAGATTGCCAGCTCGCCTGCCCTGGAAATTTTTTCTTTAACATGCTAATGAAATGATAAGTTTCCAGCTGGGCCCACTCTTAAATTCTCTTACAACTTTGGCTAAAAACCCTTTAGGGGACTCTTTTTCCCCATTTTGACCCAACTAGCCTAAACCAGCTGAAAACTTTGCTAAACACTTAAAGAATTTCAGGGGGCTGGCCCCACTGATGAAAAAAAAGTTCTAAAAGCCCTTTATTCTCCTAAACTTTTTCTCAGGCAAAGGAGCTCAAACTTTAACCTTAATCCCTCTTGGGCATCAAGCAACTGGTACTCAGGCTCCTAATTTTCTAACTAAACCTAACCATTTTAAATTTCACTATACATAAAAGGTCACAGGCACTGCTCAAGTGAGTCATATACTTTCAGACCAACAAACACTGATTTACATGTCCTGTTCCTTCTGCTGCCCTCATGAGTTTCCTTTCCAGCATAGCTTCTGTCTACAAGCTAAGAGCTCTGAGAACTTGGCTTTACATTCACAGCTACAATGGTTGGTGAGAAACACGGATTTCTTTAATTTGCTCTTCAATTTGGGTCACATATAGATCCACCGCCACCATGACCGCCAATGGCACGGCCGAGGCGGTGCAGATCCAGTTCGGTCTCATCAACTGCGGCAACAAGTATCTAACGGCCGAGGCGTTTGGGTTCAAGGTGAACGCATCCGCCAGCAGCTTGAAGAAGAAGCAGACCTGGACCCTGGAGCAGCCGCCGGACGAGGCGGGCGGCGCGGCAGTGTGTCTGCGCAGCCACCTGGGTCGCTACCTGGCCGCCGACAAGGACGGCAATGTGACCTGCGAGCGCGAGGTGCCGGACTCCGACTGTCGCTTCCTCATCGTGGCGCACGACGACGGTCGCTGGTCGCTGCAATCCGAGGCGCACCGACGCTACTTCGGGGGCACCGAGGACCGCCTGTCGTGCTTCGCGCAGAGCGTGTCTCCAGCCGAGAAGTGGAGCGTGCACATCGCCATGCATCCCCAGGTCAATATCTACAGCGTCACTCGCAAGCGCTATGCGCATCTGAGCGCGCGACCCGGCGATGAGATCGCCGTGGACCGCGACGTGCCGTGGGGCGTCGACTCGCTCATCACCTTGGCCTTCCAAGACCAGCGCTACAGCGTGCAGACCTCGGATCACCGCTTCCTGCGCCACGACGGGCGCTTGGTGGCGCGTCCCGAGCCCGCCACCGGCTACACGCTGGAGTTCCGCTCCGGCAAGGTGGCCTTCCGCGACTGCGAAGGTCGCTATCTGGCCCCATCCGGGCCCAGCGGTACCCTCAAGGCCAGCAAGGCCACCAAGGTGGGCAAAGACGAGCTCTTCGTCCTGGAACAGAGCTGCGCTCAGGTGGTGCTGCAGGCAGCCAACGAGAGGAACGTGTCCACGCGCCAGGGTGAGTTGGGGACACCTCCCTCCACCTCGGTGGCTCCCCCGGTCCATTGCACAAAAGCATTCTCCACGCCTGCATCCTTTCCCCATCGTCCGGTGCGCCCTCCTTAGGCGCACAGGCCATTGCTCCCCATTTCGGGGTTCCTTTTTTTTTTTTGAAACAGGGTCTCACTATGTAGCCCTGGCTGGCCTGAAACTCACTATGCAGACCAGGCTGGCCTCGAGCTCACAGACATCTGCCCGCCTCTGTCTCCTGAGTGCTAGGATTAAAAGGCGTGCGCCACCACCCCCTGCCCGAGACGTGGGCTTTGCCGGAAGGAGGGGACGTGGGTGCGGCCTAGCGCGTCCTCAAGCTCTGCTATCCACCTCCCCCATCCCAGGCTGGAGGTGTGGGACCCCTAGGCCCAGCTTAGGGGGACACCCTCTATGTCACTTCTTCCCAACCTGAGTTGTCCTCGTGCGCGGGCTGACCCGTTAGGATCGGCTCGCTCTAGGTCTTGGGGAGAGGGTGAAGTCCCCTTGTCCATTTCCTCGTGCGTCCTCCACCCAGGTCCGCAGGCCTTAGGCTGGAGGGCCAGGCGACGGTCACCCCTGGCACTGAGCGGTCCTCACCCCCCTTCGGCCGCCCTTCCTGGCGCGGTGGGGTATTGGCGCGGCTTTTGATCGCGGCGGGGTGCGCCGGGCGGGGTCGGCTCTGCGGCTGGGGGATGTCCGCAGGGGCTGCCCCTCCCCCACCTCCCCTCGCCTCAGAACAGAAGCATTTTGTGTTAAAACCCATTTCCTACGAATTGTATACAGAAGAGTATTGCCATCAGTTTCAGTCTCTTTCCTTTAGAAAAATATGTGTCACTTGTGTATCTAAGTGACTGCTTTCTGTTGGAATAAAAGTAGTTCTAAGAATGTGTTTATAACAGTGAAAATGAATAAACAGAAGCATTTTGCGTTAATACCAGTTTCGAACGAATTGTATGGAAAAGATATTGCCCTTTTGCTCTCCCTCCCTCTTTCTCACCACTACTATCTGTATCTAAGTGCACGCTTTCCTGTAGAAATCCCAGTACTTCTTGCAATGTACTTACTATAGCGAAAACGAATGAAGAGTAGCATTTTGCATTTAACCACGATCCTTAAGAATCTTATGTAAAACAGACTTTCCATCAATGTCAGTCAGTTTGCTTTAGAAAAATATGTGTTGGTTCTGTATCTAAGTGCCTCCTTCCTGTAGAAAGAACAGTACTTCTAGCAATGTTTTAACTCAGTGAAAATGATTGAACAGAAGCATTTTGCATTTAACCACGTTCCTAATGAGTTGTATGTAAAAAGGACTTTTCGGCAATATCAGTCAGGTAGCTTAAGAAAAATCTGTCCCACCTGTATCTAAGTGCATGCTTTCCTGTAGAAGGCACAGTACTTCTTGAAATGTATTTACTATAGTGAAAGTGAATGAAGAGTAGCATTTCGCGTTTAACCATGTTCCTTTGAGCTGTATGTAAAAAGGACTTGCCATGAATGTCACTCAGATTGCTTTACAAAAATTTGTTCGGCTCCTGTATATAAGTGCTTGCATCCTGTAGAAAGAACAGTACTTCTGGCAATGTATTTACTACAGTGAAAATGAGTGAACTGTAGCATTTCGCATTTAACCACGTTCCTAATGAGTTGCATGTAAAAGGAAATTGCCGTCAATGTCAATCAGGGAGCTTAAAAAAATATGTGCCCCATCTGTATCTACGCACATGCTTTCCTCTTGAAAGCACAGTACTTCTCACAATGTATTTACTCTAGTGAAAACAACGAAGAGTATCATTTTGCATTTAACCACGTTCCCTATAAATTGTATGAAAAGTGGAATTACATTAATGTCAGTCAGGATGCCTAAGAAAAATATGTGTCGCTTCTATATCTAAGTGCTTGCTTTCCTGTAGAATGCACAGTACTTCTCGCAATGTATTTACTACAGTGAAAATGAATGAACAGAAGCAATTTGCATTTAACCATGTTCCTAATGAGTTGTAGGTAAAAGGGACTTGATATCAATGTCAGGTTGCTTTAGAAAAATATGTATCCCATATGTATCTAAGTGCATGCTTTCCTGTTGAGAACAGAGTACTTCTTGCAATGTATTTACTATACTGAAAAAGAATGAAGAGTTGCATTTTGCATTTAACAACGCTCCTTAAGAATTATAGGCAAAAGGGACTAGTCATCAATGTCAGTCAGGTTGCTTTAGAAAAATATGTATCGATTCTGTATCTAAGTGCTTGCTTCCTGTAGAAAGAACAGTACTTCTAGCAATGTATTTACTACAGTGAAAACGAAAGAACAGAAGCATTTTGCATTTACCCCCATTCCTAATGAGTTTTATATAAAAGGGACTTGCCAACAATGTCAGTCAGGTAGCTTAAGAAAAATATGTGTCCCATCTGTATCTAAGTGCATGATTTCCTGTAAAAAACAGATTACTTCTTGCTACATATTTACTATAGTGAAAACAACTGAAGAGTAGCATTTTGCAGGACTTGCCATCAATGTCAGTCAGGGAGTTTAAAAAAATATGTTTGGCACCTGTATCTAAGTGCTTTTATCCCGTAAAAAGAACAGTACTTCTCGGAATGTATTTAGTGAAAACAAATGAACTGTAGCATTAAGCATTTAGCCATGTTCCTAATGAGTTATGTGTAAAACGGACCTGCCATCAATGTCAGTCAGGTTGCCTAAGAAAAATATGTGTTTCTTCTATATCTAATTGCTTGCTTTCTTGTACAATGTACAGTACCACTCCAAATGTATTTACTGGAGTGAAAACGAATGAACAGTAGCATTTTGCATTGAACCACCTTCCTAATGAGAATTTTTCATTTAGACTTTAACCTAATGAGAATTTGGCATTTTGCATGCACCAGTAGCATTTTGCATGTAACCACCTTTCTATTCTATGTAAAAGGACTACCCAAGAATGACAGTCAGGATGCTTAAGAAAAACGTGTGTCGCTTCTGTATCTAAGTGCTTTCTGTCCGGTTCAAAACACAGTACTTCTCAAAATGAATTTACTATAGTGAAAATGAATGAATGGAAGCATTTCTCATTAACCACATTCCTCTATATCTGAGTGCTAACTTTCCTATGGAATGCACAGTACTTCTCACAATGTATTTACTAGAGTGAAAACGAATGAACCGAAGCATTTTGCATTTAACCACTTTCCTAAGAATTCTATGTAAAAGGGACTTGCCATGGATGTCAACAGGTTGCTTTAGAAAATATGTGTCAATTCTGTATCTAAGTGCTTACTTCCTGTAGAAAGAACAGTACTTCTAAAATGTATTACTATAGTGAAAATGAATGAACAGTAGCATTCTGCATTGAACCACAGGCCAGTGAGCATTTTTCATTTAGCCTTTAACCTAATGAGCATTTGGCATTTTGCATGCACCAGTAGCATTTTGCATTTAACCACCATCCTATTGTATGAGAAAGGACTACCCAACAATGACAGTCAGGATGCTTAAGAAAAACGTGTGTCGCTTCTGTACCTAAATGCTTCCTGTCTTGTACAAAACACACTACTTCTCAAAATGAATTTACTATAGTGAAAATGAATGAAGGGAAGCATTTCGTATTAACCACATTCCTTCAGAGTTCTATGTAAAAGGGACTTGCAATCAATGTCAGTCTGGTTGTCTAAGAAAAATATGTGTCGCTTCTATATCTGAGTGCTTGCTTTTCTGTAGAATGCAAAGTACTTCTCACAATGTATTTACTAGAGTGAAAATGAATGAACAGAAGCATTTTGCATTTAACGACGTTCCTAAGAATTGTATGTAAAAGGGACTTGCCATCAGTGTCAGTCAGGTTGCTTTAGAAAAATATGTGTTGATTCTGTATCTAAGTGCTTGCTTCCTGTAGAAACAACAGGACTTCTAGCAATGTATTTACTACAGTGAAAATGAATGAGGAAAAGCATTTTGTGTTTAACCAAGTTCCTAATGAGTTGTATGTAAAAGCGACATGCCATCAATGTCAGTCAGGTATTTTAAGAAAAATATGTGTCCCATCTCTATCTAACTGCGTGCTTTGCTATAGAAAACACCATATTTCTTGCAAAGTATTTACTACAGTGAAAAGGAAAGAAGCATAGCATTTTGCATTTAACCACGTTCCTTATGAATTGTATGCATAGGGAACTTGCCATGAATATCAGTCAAGTAGTGTAAGAAAAATATGTGTCCCATCTGTATCTAAGCACACGCTTTTCTGTGGAAAGAAGACTACTTCTTGCTACGTATTTATTGCAGTGAAAACGAATGAAGTGTAGCATTTTGCACTTAACGACGTTCCTTATGAATTCAATGGAAAATGGACTTGCCATCAAAGTCAGTCAGGTTCCTTTAGAAAAATATGTGTCGCTTGTGTATCTAAGTCCTGGCTTCCTGTAGAAATAGAACTTCTAGCAATATATTTACTAGAGTGAAAATGAATGAAGAGAAGCATTTTGCGTTTAACCAAGTTGCTAATGAGTTGTATGTAAAAGCAACTTGCCATCAATGTCAGCCAGGTATTTTAAGAACATTATGTGTCCCATCTCTATCTAACTGCATGCTTTCCTGTAGAAAACAACATATTTCTTGCAAAGTATTTACTATAGTGAAAAGGAAAGAAGCGTAGAATTTTGCATTTAAAAACGTTCCTTATGAATTGTATGCAAAGGGTCTTGCCACCAAAATCAGGCAGGTAGTGTAAGAAAAATATGTGTCCCATATATACGTAAGTGCACGCTTTTCTGTGAAAAGCAGAGTCCTTCTGCCAATGGATTTACTACAGTGAAAACAAGTGAAGTGTAGCATTTTGCATTTAACCACGTTCCTTATGAATTGAATGCAAAAAGGAGTTGTCATCAATGTCAGTCTGGCTGCTTAACAAAAATATGTGTCGCTTGTGTAACTAAATGCTTGTTTCCTGTAGAAAGAACAGTAGTTCTAGCAAAGTATTTACTACAGTGAAGACGAATGAACAGAAGCATTTTGCGTTTAACCACGTTCCTTATGAGTTGTATGCAAAATGGACTTGCCCTCAATTTCAGACAGATAGGTTAAGAAAATGTGCATCCCATCTGTATATAAGTTCATGCTTTCCAGTAGGAA